TCAAATGATCCTTAAGTTCCTGGTTTCTTTCTAGGTCCCTATGATGGCTCTTGGTCAGTACAGAATTAACTATATGAACTTTCAGGTGTTCTTTTGTCTGCTGGGATCAAGCAATTTATTCTTTGGGGGCTATTTCTCTTCCTTTTAGTCCTTTACATATAGGAAATGTTACTTTAGGATGTTTAGCTGGCTCAGATGTATTTTTGGCTTCCTTCTAGTCAGTGTTTATTTACTATACCCTTGGACAGCTGCTCCTCACCCTCTCCTTCATTGTTCCCTTTCTCTTACCTGTCAGGAATGTCTCTTCACTAATCCTAAGACTTGAATTGCTTCTCAGTTTAAGAAATAAATATAATTTCATGTCAATTGAAAAGCTTTTATGTGATAACACTGTTTACACTGAGATACCCATGGGATGACCAAAGCCACAAAATGGCTGAGGTTAAGAAGAGATACTTGTTGGAGTAAACAAAAAAATTCCTAAATACTTAGCTTGGTATATTAGAAAGAAGATGGGTTTTTGCTTTAACTGTGATTATTTTTTTTTCCTTTTGAAGGTACTGGATGGTACTGGATTTGCTAACTTTGATTGAGCTACACCTGAGTCCTTAAACTGAAATTTAAGTCAAACTTTAAGTTAAACTGAAATCTTTAGTTCTATGATTTTTCTCATGTGAAATAGGATAATATAGAGTTAAAGTTTTAAATAGAATGGTTTTAAATAATAAGTATCTTAATTTCTTAGTTCATTGATACCTAGTAAGAACAAGAGAAAATGATCTATACTTTTTTAGAAGTTCTTTAGTGGATCATAATAATTAGTACTATCTGAAATACTGTCCTAGGAATACTTATTTATTATGACTGTTGTTTTGAAAATTCTGTGAAGAATCTGTTTTTTATATGTTAGTATTCAAAAGAAGAGAAAGTACTTGAGTCACCCTTTTCTCATTTTGCTTTTGGTAATTTCATGAAAAACAAACAAACAAGATATATGTACCTCACCAATATGTCCCAGCTGTGTATAGATGATTTCTAGATTGTTTGGGATTTAAATTGTTTCTTTTGTCTAAAAATGAAAAGTGACATATTTTCTGGAAACTGTTTCCAGTAGTCCAGCAATTTATTGACAATTGTTCTATAAACAACAATACATTTAGTTTACCAAATATGATATAGACATTGGGGTTTCAGTGCCAAATTTTAAAAGAACTTTTTATGGTAAAATGGTTAGATATAGGAAATGGAGAGCCATTAAAAGTTTTTCGAAAATAATTTTGGTTATGGTAGGGCAAATGGTCAATTAAGTGGTTGTAAAAACTTCAGCCAAGAGCTTATTGATAGATGACAAGAGTTGAAATGAAGGCAGCAGCCTTATGAATTAACAGGGAGAAAAGGAGGAAAAAGAACATTTTGAAATAGATTTGATGTGAGATAAAGAAGTCAAGGATGACTTTAAAGGAGAAGCTATGTCATGTTGATTTCTTGAGAATTTAGATTGAAATAATGAATAAAGGAAATAGTGTTTGTAGTGTGTATAAATCCTGATATTCTCAGGGATTTGATCCTGATATTTTGGGGGGAAAGGTTTTTTTGTTTTTGTTTTTGGTCTACTGGCTCCTTTGACTTAGCAATCAGAAAAAAGAGAGAGGCTGGGAAGGTGGCTCAGTGGTAGAGCACTTGCCTTGCATGCATGAGGCCCTGGGTTTGATTCCCCAGCACCACATAAGCAAAAAGAAAAAAAAAAGAAAAAAAAGCCAGAAGTGGCGCTGTGGCTCAAGTGGTAGAGCACTACCCTTGAGCTGAAGAGCTGAGGGATAGTGCCCAGGCCCAGAGTTCAGGCCCCACGACTGGACCCCCCAAAAAAGAAAAGAAAAAAGAAAATAGAGTCCTAAAGAACACTTAAGATTTAATGGGATAAAGCGTAGAGTAGCCGGGCGCTGGTGGCTTATGCCTGTAATCCTAGCTATTCAGGAGGCTGAGATCTTAGGATCACGGTTAGAGCCAGCCTGGTCAGGAAAGTCTGTGAGAATCTTAGCTCAAATAAACCACCAGAAAACTGGAAGTGGCACTGTGGCTCAAGTGGTAGGTAGAGCACTCCCCGTGAGCCGAAGAGCTGAAGGACTGCAGCCAGGCCCAGAGTTCAAGCCCCATGACCGACCAAAAAAAAGAGAGTAGGGTAGCATACCATAATTTTGAGACAGATAGGAAAGAGGTAGAGGATAACATGCTTTATTGAACCATGTAAGGAGTCTTTATCTCTTATTAAATTTTTTCTGAGGAATATGGTCTGACTTTAGCATCTTGTAAATTGTAGGTCATATTGTAATAGCTGATTAGTAAGTGCTTGAATGAGTGAATTAAGTAAAACAAATAGGTCACAGAGAGTTGTTAAAACTGAAGAGATAATTAGACATTACAAAACATAATGTATGTCAGTTGTCTTTTTTATTTATAGTGATAAATTTTAAATAGATTCATGTATAGAAAATGTCATCTTTTTTTCCAAATATTGCTATCAGAATTCTACTTTTTTTGTCTGCATGCTTATCTTCCTAGGACTATTAAATGTAAGGGGTGAGGAAAAATCTTTCACATGGTAATACACAAATTTTATTGACAAATGAAGTGTAAATGTTTTTGATAACTTTCAGCTGCGTATTTCTCACTTTGAATCAATTAGGAAAATAGACTGATATTTTCCTGCTGCTAGATGTGTACCTGCCACTGTAACAGTGGTAGGAGATTGTATCTCCTTTGCCTTATTCATTCCTTTGTGGTTAATATTTTTGGCCACTGTCTACCATGGTTTAGGATTTATATATATATATATACATATATAAAAATATACATATTATATTTTATTTTATTTTATTTTTTGCCAGTCCTGGGCTTGAACTCAGGGCCTGGGCACTGTCCCTTACCTTCTTTTGCTCAAGCCTAGTGCTCTACCACTTGAACCACAACACCACTTTGGCTTTTTCTGTTTATGTGGTACTGAGGAATTGAACCCAGGGCTTCATGCATGCTATGCAAGCACTCTACCACTAAGCCACCTTCCCAGCCTTGATATTTGTTTATTTTTGATGGTAGCTTTATTTATTTATTTTTTTTGTGGGCAGGGATAGTGAGGGTTGAACTCGTGCTTCACACTTAGGCAAGCATGCTTAACACTTGAGCCACACTCCTAGTTCTTTTGGCTTTAGTTATTTTTCAAATAGGGTCTTTGTACCTTTTACCAAGGCTGACCTCAGACCACAGTCCTTCTTCATATGTTTTCTTTCTCTTAGTAGCTGGGAATACAGATATGATCCATTACCCCTGGCTCAGGTCTTAGATTTTTTTGAGATAGGGTCTCCCTATGTAGCTCAGGCTGGCCTTTGAACTCTTGGTTCCCTAAGTTATACCATATAAAACTCAAGAAGATAGAATATTTTTCCTGTTCTGGAATTTCTCTTTGACTTTTATGTACAACTTTACCTTATTTCCCTCCATTTAATCCAGTGTAGAAAGATAGAGAGAAAGGGGGCTGGGAAGGTGGCTCAATGGTAGAGTGCTTGCCTTGCATGCATGAGGCCATGGGTTTGATTCCTCAGCACCACATAAGCAGAAAAACCAATACCAAAAAAAAAAAAAGAAAGATACAGAGAAAGAACACTGGAGCTGATGACAGGAAAACTGTTTTCCTACTCAAATTTATAAAAGTTGTAAAACAATTTGAGCATTTGTTCAATTTTCAATTTTTGCTTTTGTTTCTTACCTCTAAAAGTCCAATGTGAATACTTTAGTCGGCACATTTTTCCAATTGGAGACTTTTGTGTTATAAATTGTCATTGCTTTTCTTTTCTTTTTTTTTTTTTGTAATTCCTCTATTGACCAGTATTGTGAAGTTTGGCTAAGTAAAATTGTGAGGATGTTTTCTGTTCTGTATGTGGAAATTGTGATGCTTAACTTGCAAAGTGGTTGAGAAGAATAAATGGGAGAGTGACTATACTTGTAAAATGTTTTTTTTGGCTATTTCATAAAGCTACTGGAGTTTCTTATGATTGTATACTACCGAGCACAAACCTCATATGTGAAAAGAAGTATATGAATAATTGATAGAAACATTTTGTGATAATTGCACTATAAAGAAACATCAGGATGTTTATATATAATTATTTTTGAGCAAAAATTTACTTTATGCTCAGCTTCTTCAACTTGAATAAAGAAACTGTAAGGGTTGCCGAAAGGAAACTCCCATGTGGCTCAAGGGAAGAGGGTTTATTGAGAGTGAGAGAGAGTAAAGCTTCAGCTGCACAAATGGAGCAAGAGAGATTATGGCGGGAGGAGAGAGATTATATAGGGGAGGGCAGGAGAGGGAGTATGGCCACACCAGAAGCAGAGGAGACCTCAGAGTCTGGGGACTTCCTACTGCACCCAGGCATGCCAGTTGCCTGGGTTACAGGTGCTGGGCGGGGACTAGGGTGCAAGGGAGAGAGAGAACCAAGGGAAGGAGACATTTCTCCTGAGCAGACCTAACAAAGATAATATTATTATTTGGTTTTACTAAATGCTTTGTTAAGTATCTTAATTTTTAAGAAATGTGCACCAAATAATGTTTTATATTAAAGTATCATTGAATGGAATTGTTTTTGCCTTTTTTGTATTATATTGATATTGGGAAGCACAGGATACCTAGGCAGGGGTCAAGTATACTTAAATACAAATGGAATGTTATTAAACTTGACATAGCAAATTTAATGGATGAGTCAAATGAAAAGTACCAAAACTGAGTGTGGGGGGATTTGTTTTAATCTGGTTTGCAGATTTTATATGTTCATATTTATGATCTCTATTCATTACTTAAAAATATGTCACAATAATATCAAGTATTTAAACTTCTGTGGCTGTATCATTCTGCATGGAATAGATTTAAAGGTCAACACTACTCTTTTATGTAGGTTATGGGTGCTACATGTGTGCTTTCAGAGCAGTAGTGTGAGGAAACTTGAAGTGGGATGGCAGGACGGCCTCATCCCTATGACAGTAACTCCAGTGACCCAGAGAATTGGGATCGGAAATTGCATAGTAGACCTCGTAAACTTTATAAGCATTCAAGGTAGGTAGAAATATATATTACATATCAAAGTTCTGCTAAACCTGATTGTAAAGACTACTATTGTATTTAACTGTGGCAAGTTCTATCAGTGGATAGGGGCTAGTTTACAAAATATTATGCTTTTGGGCTGGGAATGTGGCTTAGTGGTAGATGCTTGCCTAGCATGCATGAAGTCCTGGGTTCGATTCCTTAGTACCACATAAATAGAAAAAGCTAGAGTGGTGTTGTAGTTTAAGTGGTAGAGTGCTAGCCTTGAGTAAAAGGTACAGTGCCCAGGCCCTGAGTTCAAGCCCCAGAACTGGCCAAAAAAACCCCAAGAAACAAGCTATTATGCATGTTTGTATTTCTCCTTAGATAGTTTTTAGTGAAATATACATTTTAATTTTTAAAAACTTGTTTGTTTAAATATTTATTTCTACTTCTAAATTAAGTCTAGATCTTAGTTTACTCCATGGTTAAGTGTTAAAAATTGAGTCAATAGGAACTAGCAAGACATTACTTCTTTATGTTTGAAAATCTCTAATAAGAATTTATTTGTACCCTAAATAATGGATGCAGATTACACCTGATAATTTGTTTCTGTCTGTGTTTGCTGCTATATATTTTTAAAAAAATTTATTTGTATTTAAAATTACCTTTAAGAAGTTGTATGGAGGGAGGTGCCATATAATAAAGCAGTTTATGAATACAGTGCATCTTGATCACTGTCACCCCTTCAACATTCTCAGCCCCCTTCAACCCATTCTTTCCCTTACTTTTCTTAGTTTTTTTTAACTATGTGAAATATTGGTATTGTCATTCTGATCCTAAGGGGAAGATGTATCTTTCTGGATTAACTGCTAGCTAAAGTTTGATGTGTGAAATGAGATTTATTTTAAAAGTATATATTCACCTATTACTTTTTAACTTTTATTTTGTGTTATATGACTAAAAGAGGAATACCTCATTTATAATACTTTGTGATGATATTTTTAATGTGTTAGTTGACAGCTTATAAATGTCATATATTTCAGGTATGTAAGCATGTTTTATAGTGGATTTTGTGTATGAATATTATGGATATTAATGAACATTAAACTTACTTGAATAGAAAAATGTCTCCCAGTCACTGTTAGCAAACACCAGAATTCTTGAAAAACATTTCCATGATACTGAAATCCTTTTTGTAATTTCAAGGAAATAGTTTAATACAGAAGATGTTCACCTATATTGTTCAGTTTTAATATGATGACATCTTAAAAATGTTAATGTGAAGTTAATTTGAGTATATGCCACATGGTATGAATATGTTGTGTGTGTGTGTGTGTGTAAGTGTATGTGTATGTGTTTATGTTTATATAATAGAAAAAGAAAGAGGAGAGGTCTAATGGAGCTCTAGTTCTTTTCTTTCTGTGTTCGGTAGATAATTATCTTGTCCTTTAGAATAAAGGTATTTTGATTTATTGTATGAAATGGGACTATATTTGAGTCTAATATGCTGTGTATATATATCATATACATATGTATTCAGGTGATATATATGTTACACTGGCTAATTCTTGGGATTTTTCTGCTGGTGTGCAGTACTGCATTACATAATGAAGAGGTGACAGAAATGTCAAAATTGACTTTATAAAAGATTTGTGTATGCAATGAGAAAAATTTATAAAAACTTACAATGCTTTTTCCTTGCTGCTGTTTCATTTCAGTAACAAATATAGCTCTTCTTGATAACTGTATGGTAATAACTTTTATTTTTGTGGTGCTATGGTTCCAGCCCAAGTCCCTGAATATGTTAGGTACATATCAGTCAGTTACACCCCATATCCCAGACCCTTCATTGGTAACCTTTTGATGTTTTTGGGTGTGCAGTATCAGTATTTGGAGTTTTGAGTGAAAACAAAAATAAATATTAATAAATTGATTAAAAATTTTTGTAATTGGAAGACCATGAAGTCCTTTGAATTTGTAATTGGAAGACCATGAAGTCCTTTGAATGAGTTTATCTTAAGCCCTTGTGGAAATCCTATGCCAGCAAGAACAGCTTACTTTTAGAGACTTCTTATCCCTATATATTTAGGAACATATAACTTTAGAATTTTTAAGGCGCTGCTTGGCTTTTTAAAGATGGCATGTTAGGAGCTGATGGAAAACTAATGCAGAGAGAAGTTTTAAAGCCCATCAATTTGGGCTGGGAAGGTGGCTCAGTGGTAGAGCCCTTGTCTTGCATGCATGAGGCCCTGGGTTCGATTCCCCAGCACCACATAAGCAAAAAGAAAAAAAAGCTGGAGGTGGTGCTGTGGCTCAAGTGGTAGAGCGCTAGCCTTGACCTGAAGAGCTGAGGGACAGCGCCCAGGCCCAGAGTTCAGGCCCCACGACTTGATCCCCCATAAAAACAACAAAAAAACCCCCATCAATTTGTATATCTAGAAACTGACCTCAGTTCAGAGAAATTTGAAAGTGTCAAGCTACTATTATAGAATGTTTTATAATTCACAAATGAAGCAAATAGAGAACTATAGAATATTTGACCTGTGATACTGAACTGTAAAATAAAATTCAGAAAAGGAATCCATATCAAGTGAGAAGGTGAAAATAAGACTTAAACTAATCCTAGGTGATTAGAGAATTAGCGTGGATGGAAGGACATCCCTGTCAAGGACATTTAGGAGATTACCTTGACTCAATCTCTGGACAGTATGTGCTATAGATTTAACAAATGGAAAAAGTAAGGTGAAGAGCCAGCTAACTTGTTAATGGCAGAGCTGGAGTTTATAACAAGTTTTTCATTCTTATTTCAAATTTTAAGCAGTTTATATTATAGAGAGAGCAAGTACAATGAATGCCTATTGCTTATCACATAGCTTCAAGTTAGCAACTGATGGCTAATTGCGTTTTGGCCTATTCATCACATGTTTTTAATCTCATATATTTATTCTTATTAGGGAAAATCAGGTTTTCAAAGGGATTTCATTGAGATATTTACAACTTGAATATAATATACTTTGATCAAATTACCTAATCTATGTTATTCTTTATTAGCCACCCATTCTCTTCATCCTTCCTCAAACCTAACATATTTTACTTGGGGATACTTGAGTAAAAGAAGACCAGACTGGCTGGTGCCGGTGGCTCACATCTATAATCTTAGCTACTAAGGAGGCTGAGATCTGAGGATTGGGGTTCAATGCCAACCGGGCAGGATTAACCCACCAATTAATCCACCAGAAAACCAGAAGTGGTGCTGTGGCTCAATTGGTAGAGTGCTTGCCTTGAGCTGAGCATAGTGCCCAGGACCAGAGTTCAAGCCCCATGACTGACAAAAAAATAAAATCAGACTGGCTTAAGTTAGAGATTGATTTTTCTTTTCTCTCTCCATTTCCTTTTTTTTTTTTATGCCAGTCCTGGGGCCTGGGTTCTGTTCCTTTAGCTTTTTTGCTCAAGGCTGACACTTTACTACTTGAGCTACAGTTCTAGATTTCTGTTGGTTAATTGGAGATGAGAGTCTTATAAGTTTTTCTGCCTGGCCTGGAGTTGAACCATGATCCTCAGATCTCAGCCTCCTCAGTAGCTAAGATTACAGGTGTGAGCCACCACCACCTAGTTTGATTTATTATTTTTACACTAGACATTCAGAGGTAGCTGATGGCTGATATATCCTTTATTGCTTAAAAATATCAGGGTCAACAGTCTCTGATTTGCTTGACTGTTCTATTGTTATCACAAAGAGATGTGTAATTCCGGCCATCCAGGACAGTAGAAAAGTCATCAGAAAATTAAATTTCTCTTGGTCTTGGAATGTGGCTTAGTGGTAGAGTGCTCGCCCTAGGTTTGATTCCTAGTACCACATACACAGAAAAAGCTAGAAGTGGCACTGTGGCTCAAGTGGTAGAGTGCTAGCCTTGAGCAAAAGAAGCTAAGGGACAGTGCCCAGGCCCTGAGTTCAAGCCCCAAGACTGGCAAAAAAGAAAAATTAAATTTCTCAGACATTACTTATCTGAGAAGTTTATAAGTTGCATCTGATAGCTGCTTATACATCATTAGCTAGAAGTATGTTATATAGATCAAGGATACTAAGAAATGTAGTTTATTATAAACTGGGCTTACTGTTATCTCATAATTGTAAATTTATTTTAAAATAATCAGAAGACTTTATTGGTCAGTTTCTGTAGATAATCTAAAAATTGTTTTGTTTTTGCTGGTACTGGGGCTTGAGCTCTGGGTCTGAACTCGCCCTCTACTTTTTGCTGGCATTCTACTACTTGAGTTACACCTCCAATTAAACTTAACCTTTAAAAAAATGTGTTTTGCTTCATGTATGGTTTTGAATTGCTTTGTTTTTCCACTTTTTTTCTCATCTTTTCTTGCTGGCTATGATTAAAATACACTTTGTGTGTGTGTGGTAGGGGGGTGGGGTTCTGGGACTTGAACTTGGCCTGGGTGCTCAAGGCTAGTGCTCTTCACTTGTGCCAAGCGTCACTTTTGGCTTTTAGTTGATTAGAAATAAGAGTCTCATGGATTTTAACTGCCTGGGCTGGCTTCAAACTGCAATCCTTACATCTCAGCCTCCTGAGTATCAGCTAGGAATATAGGCATGAGCCATTGTTGCCCAGCCCAGCTCCTTTTTGGTTTATGAAGGAAATACTAGTTGCTGTCATACATGTACTTACTTTTCTATCAGAGTTTGGGAGTTTGGCAGGTCTGGCTTATGATTTGCTTATGATATAGTACAATTTTAAGGTGGTTTCTAAGTTTTCTTTCTTTCTTTTTTTTGGGGGGGGGTCCTGTTGTGGGGCCTGAACTCTGGGCCTGGGCCTGTCCCTCAGCTCTTCAGCTCAAGGCTAGTACTCTTACCACTTGAGCCACAGCACCACTTCCGGCTTTTTTTTTCTTTTTGCTTATGTGGTGCTGAGGAATCGAACTCAGGGCTCATGCATGCAAGGCAAGTGCTCTACCACTGAGCCACCTTCCCAGCCCTCTAAGTTTTCTTTTGACTATCTATCTCTGATTTAAAAGCTAAG